GGCGACGTGTCGCATCCTATATGTTCAGTACTGATTGTGGCGGAGTCAAATGGATATTTGAGGTGGGAGCGCTTGTGTATCGAGATAGATACATCAGATTGATGATCTCCAAAATCCGGCTCGGATGTGGTTTCCGGAACTGACAAATCCATAATATCGGTGGTGAGACCAGCAAAAGATGCAAGTTCTTGTGCGAAAGATTCTGCAACCCCAAGTAGATCACGTATTTCATCGTCACTAGGGTACTGACTGAGGATGTGACTATAATCTTTTGTGCTGTCATGTGAGAAATCATATTTGTAACCTATGCAATCTCTGATCAGTGTGATACTACTGCAAGAAGGCTGATGAAGACAAACTCGCCTGAATGCAAATTCTCACTTGTGGGCAAAGTGATATGCCCACTCATGATACTCTTTATAACAGCAAATATTTTGGGCATCATTTGTCTGGCATCCAATATGGTGAAAGTTGGTGAAATAACCTGCATCCATCCAAAGATATGCTTACAGCATTCTGTTCCGTGTTTCCAGGGCATAAGAGGGTGGGTAGGGTAACATTCACGATGAGAAATGATGAGTGCCAAGAGACTCTCGCCAAGCTGTTCAAAGATTTGAATGCTTTGATGTGAGATACAATTTGTAGCCAAACTCATCAAGCTTCCAGGTTCCATCTGACGTTTGAGTAGATATGCCTTCCACTTGCGGACAAAAAACACCGCTGTGTAACTTGAGATAATCCTGTCTCGGTGTGGCATGCTCTGGCTCAACCAAGAATCAACGAGCTCACCAAAGATGTAGAGATACAAGACTAGACCAATGCAATCTGGTTCTGCGCAAGCAGCCTTGAAAGTGCCCTCACTGAAGGTTCGATAAGCACGGCCGTCATCTTGCTTATCGGTGTTTAATACATCTTTATAACCCAGTGGGCACTCAGAAGTTTGGAGTAGTGAAAGAATTTGGTCAAGGTTGACATTGAACCGTCCAAAAGATAAGAAACGTGCTCCAGAGAGTAGTTGATTTGAAGCAGTTTTCCGGGCGTGCTTAGGATCCTGTACAACCACAATCGGTCTTTTAGAGGCACCTAGAAGTGGGATACGTATGTTGACTTTGAGGCTAGGAGCTGAAAACGTGAGATAATCTGTTGCTGAGTCAACAAGTAGCTGTTGTGCAAGCACTTCAGATGCTGCACCATCGGATCCCAAAGAAACGAGCGGAATTCCGGCTGATTCAAGTAGATTAATGAACTCGATGTGCTGGTCCTTGATTTCCTCAGCAGATTCGGTCTCATGGCTAGAAATCAAAGCTACAACAAAGGTAGGGACATCTGGTAGTGGGATCTGCAATGTATACGCTCGAATCTGAGAAAAAAAGTTAGTCTTGTTCAATTATAATTAAAAGATGTGGAATTAAGAGATCAAAAAGCACAAATGATAGACTGTTGACAGCTGCTGACCTTTTTGCACAGTCGATCTCCCTCGACCGCATCTTCCACCAATTGTTTCAGGTGTTCCATATCCACAATTTCAACATCTCCACCTTCGAGACCAACTAAGCACCCCTGATTGTAACGAAGAGCCTTTACACATACTGTCTGGTCTGTCCCAGATGCGACTGGTCCCTTGTATCCATAGCGCTCAAGCCAAGAAACAACTGGGAGAACATTGTTGACATGGAACTTGTCAAGCATCCGAGCACCAATCCGCTGGCGTACCAAGCGGGAGCCACGAGATGATCGGCCACAGAGGTTTGCACGGAAGAGTTCAACAGCGCCTTTTGAGTACGCTCCTGCTGTTGTCAGCATGTTATCAAGATACTCGTTGAATGGCATTCCTCGTGTGCTTCGGCCTTTGGATTCTCGCTCTGCCCGAATTCCAACGCCTTCAGCCACCCCTCGAAACACTGGCAGACTGTTGAACAGTCCAG